TGGACTGGGTAGCTAACGGGGAGTTGCTGTTTCTTTGAAGCTAACTAAAAGGTTTTGCCTCGTAATTTTAACTCAACCCGTCCGAAGGATTTGGGTTCTTGTACAGAAAATAAATGGTAAGAATGTCACCAACCAAAAGAGCATAGTACTGGGATTTGCTGAGAAATTGATTCTTCAAGGTGAAAACTAATTCTTGGGTAGACTTTACAGTTTACCTTGTCATATGATCCATTGTCATGATAGGGGAAGTAGCGATAAGCAACCCGTATAGTTCTCAACTCCACCGCTTCTTGGAGGTTCTAATATCTCCAAAAATTATATACTTGTGAATTTTATTAGATAGCAACAGATTTCCTCCTCTCAATTCAATATGCAGGTTCAGATTTTGAGATTTTGTTTCTTTTCATTTTCTTTCTCATGTTTATTTATCGAGCAAACTTTGCATTACCCATCTGTGCATGTCAGCGCTGATGTTCATATCATGTAGTGTCAGGGAAGTGATTTTCACACACCCCATTTTCTCCCTACGCACTTTCTTTAATTCCGCTCAATTTATTCATTCTAAAGGTGAGGGAAAAGGAAGGTGCGTAGGAGAAATGGATGTCTGAAAATAATTTTCCAATATTTATCTCCTTGAAAAGTAAAATGCTATTGGACTGCATCTCCGCTTGTATGCGAATGTCAAGTAAAGTTACAGGGTATCAGTTGGAAATGTTAAGAAAAGCAAATAGAGTTTCGAAGCAAGCGAGGTGAAGCTGAAACGTTGATCGGATTGGATAGCTCTTTGTCGACCTACTCCCGCGCATCAAATTCCGACCAACAACTTGGAGGTATAGTTGTGTGGTTCAAGGCATTGGTTTGCTAAGTTGGCACACTAGCAGATTGTGTCCCGGTTGAACCCCATTTCCGAGTAGTCTGCAACATTTGAGAGTGCTTCTTTCTGTTATTTTTAATTTTTTTAATTTTTAATTTTATTTATTTTTGTTAGAAAGGGATGGCCGTTTCATGACCCTGCTGCATTACGTTCACTCATACGGGTTGGGCATGTTACAAGGTCAACCCGACCCTAGTAATCATTTACAATATGGGGTCGGGTTAAACTCAACCCAACCTGTGGGTGAATTTGGGTTAAACTTGGGGTTGCACAATTTTATCACAAGGTGGATAATAAATGGATTCAACACAATCGTGATAATTGGGGTTAAATCCATCCAAAAAGGATGGCTCATCCAAAACTAAGCACTCGTTTGGAATTATATTAAAATGGTTAAAAGTGTTTTTGATGAAAATGATTTTGGATGAACACTTGAAGTGCTTTTGAAACTTAAAAATATTTTCTTTAAAAACTATTTCAGTAATTTTAAAAGCACTTTTAAGGAAACCTTCACAAACTGAACATGTTATAAAATGATAAGTCACTACCTTGAAGAGTTGCAATTGAGAACAAAGGAACGCCAAAAAAAAAAAAAAAAAAAAAAGATAAAAGAGTCCTGCAACCTAACCCAAATTGCTGCTCATAAACACGTTGTAGTACGAAAAAAATTGGATAATTCACGAAGTCCTGCAACCTAACACATTGCTAAATAGTACCCAAGTCTTGTATCAATCAAACAATACAAATGAAGAGTTTTTCACCATAAAATTGATTGGCAATACAAAGATGTTCAACATCAATCCACACTTAAAATGCATGCAAAGTCCTTTGTTTTTCCGACATGGCATTCATGCCCTCGACAAAAACATGGAGCAATGTCATACAATCCACAGTTTTGAGCGTACTTTCATAGAGACGTTTATGCAGGCAAACGGCGACAGTAGTGGGTGCAGTGGTGGTGCAATAGCGGGGGAGTGACTGTCGAAAAATCACATATAAACTACGCGTAAACAAGGTTGGCGCAGAAAGCACTGTTGATTATTATTTGCAACAATATAAGATGGTTAAGAAAGCATATATATTAATAAGGATAACATTGTCAACATCTCCAAGAAAACTCAATTCTACAGCTTAACAGTCTAAAAACCAATCCATTTTTCAGAAATGGAATCATAATCCCTTTTCGAAACCCAAAAAGGAAGCAACACATTGTGGTGACCAAAATTTCCTTATTCCCAGCCGGTTGGAGCGGGAACTCCACCTTCAACAATGGGGGCAGTAGCCAGAGCCTGTGGTGGTGGAACAGCCGAATCCCATCCATCTGCTACTATTGGTGCTGCAAAACATAAACGGGATAAGTCAGAATAGGTACACGGGCGAACAAAGAAGTTCAAGGAAATCCCAGGTAGCAAGCATAAATATTTCTAACATCCAGCAAAGTCCGCAGGGAAATGAGCTAACCACAGCAAATGGATAATTTGCATAGATCGTGGCAAAACAATAACAGTTTAGAAAAAATAAGCAGCAAAAACAGGGGTAGATAATACAAACTCAAGCACAACGATTCAAGCACAAACTTTTAATAATAAAAAGGTTTGAGAAGTGAAACCTGCTTCTACGGTCCAGCCAGGAGCTGCAGGGATGGGTGCAGATGCATCGGTTGGCCACTGAGCATCAGATATTTGGGCAGACCAATCACCGCCAACAGGGGCAGAGAAATCGTTTCCGTACTCGATTGCTGCAGTTTCTTCTTCCTTTTCCTTGGCCTCCTCAGGCTCTCTATAGAAGAATAGATCAACCTGCAAAAAGAAGTTTGGGTGAAAATGAAGCTTAGAGACAATTCTAAATATGCTCAATTACAAAATAATGCTCAAATATTGTTCAACATTGGTATTCTATGCTTACCATAACATCCCACTTGTGACCAGGAAGGAGTGAACCACGCATTTGCAAGACCATCCTTGCTAGGAGCCAGAAAAGGCATCCTATGCTGTGCTTGCCCTTGTTATTGGCTGGGATGCCAATATCAACATAACGCATAGGAGAATCGGTGTCACAGAAAGCAATGGTGGGAATGTTTCCGAGAGCAGCTTCCTTAATAGGCTGCCGATGCATAAAGAATATTAGTACACATTTAAAAAAAAAAAAAAAGCAGAACATATACAAAACACGCAAAACCACGAGAAATGAAAGAAGATCATCACCTGGCTGTCAGTTCGAGGATCGGTCAAAATGAGAAGACGGGGTTCATTGAATGATGTCTGGAGCTGATTGGTAAAAGTACCAGGAGTGTGCCTGCCAGCAATTGCATTGGCACCAGTGTGCTGAGCAAATTTCAGTACAGCCCTCTGACCGTATGGCCTTGCGGATTGCACAATGATGTCCTTTGGGTTTTCAATCGCAACAATCACTCTCGCTGCCAGCTGCAGCTTGTCCCATGTTTTCCCAAGATTAATGATATAGATTCCTGAAAATGACCAAATAAGTGATTGAGAACTAAATCAGTAATAAAACGCTATGTTCATATAACAATCAGCTGCTTAAAAACACATATGGCGTATCATCGCACTTCACAACTAAATCATGACCACACAACCCAAATCATACAGTTCCTTGCTCGTGCAGCTTGACAACAAACCCGTGCAATCGAAAAATAAAAGCATAACCTTGACAGCAACGAATCGATATAACATACACAGCCATTTTCTAAAATCAACTACTACAGTGAACACAGTTAAGCTGCTTAAATAGGGAAAAATGAATTCTAATTCAAAGTAAAAGAAGCGCAACAAAATATACCAACAAGAACAAATAACACCATAGCTATAATAATACCCATATACCAGATCTAGCAAAATCATATTCAGCATAAATTAGAAAATACCCCCCATTTCTAACACCGCAAAACAAACAAAACATATTCAAAAATCTGAAATTTCATATTATATTACCAAAAAATTAAGCATAAATATAAGTAAAAATGAGGAAGATTAAGGAGGAGATATGATGCATACCATCGTTGCGTCTCTTGAAGACGTATCTTTCCATCTGAAAGTCGCAGTTTTTGGTGCCCAGATGGACTTCGGCGGCCAACATCATCTGAATGTCAGCCTCCTTCTGAGAGAGCTGACGCGGTGCTGCGGCGGTGGTAGCCATCGTCGAGACTTCAACAGATAGAGGGGGAAGATGACCGTGCGGCCGATTTTCAATGCGAGAGTGGGGAGCTGCGGGTTTGCTCGCTTTATCTACGGGAGGTTGCGAGCGAAAAACCCTAGGAGGAGAACTAAGATTTCTACTTCCGTACTATCTCAGCCGTTGGATAACACCAACGGCTAGATTTGTAGAAGTCAATGATATGCCGGTTTAGAGTTTTTCACCTTTTTTATTTTTTTATTTTTAATTTAATTTAAAGAATTCGTGATGCTTCTAAATATATTAGCCAGTTAATACTATAATCTGATGATATTTCTCTTCATCTGAAAGTGGAAGTGAAATAGATTTGTAGAAGTCAATGATATGCCGGTTTAGAGTTTTTTTTCATTTTTTTTTAAATTTAAAGAATTGGTGATGCTTCGAAACATATTAGCCAGTCAGTACTATGATCTGGTGATATTCCTCTTCATCTGGAAGTGAGAAGTTTTAGGTTCGAATATCGTCGATGACAAATTCGATACCAAATTAGGTTGCCATTTATACATCTTAGCTAAGTTCCCTCTTTTTAATGTAAAAATATCTATGTACTAAAAAAAAACATACTATTGTAAATAGACTACACCATGAGCGAAAAACAATCGTGTTTATGCACTATAATAAGAACCGTTCACTTTTCCTTCCTCAATAATTCACCAAATATATAACTAAGTATCTAAAACTCCTTAATTTTTCAATGTCATTTTAAATGATCTTAATATTTTTAAACATTTTAAATAAGTACTTAACGTATTAAAAAAAGTCGCATCTGGCATCTGTTAAGCTGGAAAACTCAGTCCTAGGCCCACAATGGCCTAGCCCATCAGATTGTGGTCGACTTTTAAATTTACCCGGATCCAAATCAAAAGCCCATTTTCTTAAACCCTACAACCATCCCCGCCCCTTCGTCTGTTTTTTCTGGTAAAGCTTCATTCCACAGCCAGCCATGGCGGATTCTAAATCAAAGAAATCCGCTAGCAAGCCAGAAGACATAGATCACCTCCGGTCCGACGTAGCCTCCTTCGCTTCCTCTCTCGGTCTCGCAACCTCTCTCCCTTCCTCCGGCTTCAACGATGTCGATTTTCGCAATCCCGGTCCCAAAAAACCCCAAAGGAAGTCCAAACCAGCTCCAATCCCAAACCCCACCAAAAACCAGAAGCCAAACAAGCCGAATTTCAAACCCAATGAAAACCAGAAGCCGAAACTCACACTTTCTTCACTGGAGGAAAACAGCAGCAAGGACAAAGCGAGAAACTTTGAGAAGTTCAAGAACCTACCGAAGCTGCCATTGATGTCGGCGAACAACTTGGGGGTGTGGTATGAGGAATCTGAGGAATTGGAAGGCAAAGTGCTTGGGTGGGAAGAAAGTGGAGGTGAAGAACGCGGAGGAGTGGAAGGGTGTGGTGGCAAAGAAGAGAGAGCTTGGAGAGAGGTTAATGGCGCAGTACGTAGCGGACTACGAGTCATCGAAAGGGAAGAGTGGGGATATTAAGCTTTTGCTTACCACACAGAGGTCCGGAACTGCATCGGATAAGATATCGGCATTTTCGGTGTTGGTTGGGGATAATCCCATTGCCAACATGAGGTCCCTTGACGCACTTATAGGTAATATTTCAGTTTGTAATTAGTAGAAGGTGTTTTAAAAAAAGAGGATGAAAGTTAACGACTGCTTTAAATCAAGCATTTCCCAACTTGAATTGTGTTTTTGTTGATATATGCCGGAAAATATTTGTTGAATCTTAGAATTTTAGATTGATCGTTTCGTGACTGTTTGTTTCAGCAAGAAAAGAAATGCTAATAATGATTCAATGAATGTTTCCAAGTTATTTTATACCTATACCTATGTTCCATTTGATCCGAGGCTAATGTACTAGAATCAATATAGAATGTCTAAATTTTATTCATGTCGCTGTGTATACACAGTTCTTGATGAACTTTGATAGATTTTTGGGATTAAAAAAAATCATTCATATCAAATTCTCAATCTGACCAAGAGCTTTGGTTCTGTTGGAAGCTGGGTGTGGATTCAATCTTTCTATTTGAACCTTGATTGGCCTTATTTTGTTGAATCTTACTTTTATTGGGATTTGTATTTGTTGTAGGAATGGTGACATCCAAAGTGGGAAAGCGATATGCATTTGCAGGTTTTGAAGCATTGAGAGAATTGTTTCTTACAAGGTTATCTCTCTCTCTCTCTCTCTCTCTCTCTCTCTCTCTCCCTCAATCCTTTTGTGTGTGCACACATTATTAGTCTTGAAACCTTGGAAATGACTAATCAGTCTTTGATCCCTCCACGGTCACTCAAGCCACGGGGGATTAAAGGTGTGAGGTCTGCTACAGAACTACTTTTATTTAAAAGAACGACAGAACTCCACATGACAAACAACACAAGAAAGCTCATGAATCTCACCAAACGAGAAAGATAAGTTTGTAATACTAAACAAGCCTGTCCGAAACTACTATCAATCTATGACCTTGCTGCAAAAATTGAAAATAGTCCAATGCCTCTTTATAGAAATGATCATATTTTATGATATACTAAATTTATTGCCGTTTGCTCCATGAAGTAAGTGAATTGTTGGTTTTCTAGTTTGGTGTGTTTCATGATGAATGGGTTTAGTAAGAAGCCATTTTCCTTGTGATTAATAATGATCGATGGCATTTGTTTGCCCACTTGAGTTTGTTTTAGAACTTTGACTTCATATTTGTGAGTTTTTGCTCCTTACTTTGCTCTGATCTGCATATATGTCTCTATTGCCAGCTTATTACCTGATCGCAAGCTTAAGAACCTCATGCAGCGGCCATTAAATCATGTTCCTGAGACAAAGATGGTTATTCTCTTCTTCTTCTATGGTACTGGGAGGAGTGCTTGAAACAAAGGTATTTGTTTTTAATCTTTGTTCCTTTTGCTCCACAACCTTATTGTGTGCATCTATTTTTAACAAGACACATATAATGTCTCTCTCAGGTATGAACGCTATGTTTTTGCTCTTGAGGAAGCATCAAAAGATATGTTACCTGAACTTAAAAACAAGGCATTGAAGGTTGGGTTCTCTCTATTTTTCTCTTATTGTTAATTTGCTGCCTGTTTAAAACCTCCCATTATGACTACTAATTTTCGATTGTTCCTGAAGCTACAAAGTTCCAATATTCATTTTCTCCAGTGAAACAGGTTTTTTTTTTTTTTTTTTTTTTTTTTTTTTAATAAAGTTCAAGCCTCCTCTTTAAACCAACAGTCAAATTGGAATTTGAGGAGCATGTTTGTTAGAAGTTCGCTTAGATTTTCATTTGTAAGCATGTTACTATTTCAGATATTGATTTGCTGTAAGTAAAGTTTAAGGCTTGGATTACAACCGTTATGTAGGTTGATTGTTGTAAGAATTTACACATAAGAGATTAGTATTTTCTGTTATCTGTTTGCTCAATGTTATGGATATAAAAACAACCATTGAGTGGAAATGCATGGTGTAACTCATGTGATTTTCTGAAGTTTCACATTTTGCTTAAAACAACGTTGAAGTGACCACAAAGTGAAAAGATTCAACCACTTTCCTATCTTTGTTTTAGTTTTTTTTTTTTTTTGTTGAAAAAAATATACAAAATTGAAGTTACCACAAACTGAAAAAATGCATGATGTAACTCATATGATTTTCCAAGGTGTAACTCATATCTTTTTTAAATATAATTTTTTTTAGCTATAATGCACGTGAAGTTGTCTGTAACATCTATAATATGCTGATGTGAGAATTTTGATCCATACTCTCCTATACAAATAAATGCTTCCAGACTATATACGTGCTGCTAAAGAATAAATCAGAGCAGGAGCGTAGATTACTGTCTGCGCTAGTTAACAAAGTAAGTTTAACCTGGTTTTTTGCCTCACTTACTTCATATACCTTTTTTTCCCCTTACAATTGTCAACTCGCTTCGTTGTCTGCTTTATTCCTTTTGGTTGCTTACAGCTGGGAGATCCTAAAAATAAGGGGGCATCTGATGCTGATTTTCACTTATCAAACCTTTTGTCTGATCATCCAAACATGAAGGTATATCTATTGAGCTTAGCTAAATCTAATTTGTGGATCTGAGTAGTCCTCCCAGTCCCATCTTATACTAAGAACTCCTTTGAATAGGCAGTGGTGATCGACGAGGTGGACTCTTTTCTCTTTCGCCCACGTTTGACTCCACAAGCAAAATATCATGCAGTATGTCCCATTATAAACTTTACTATTAATTTAATCGCTACCATAATCTGGACTAAGCTAGTATCATTACTACTTGTTTCAGCTGCCACATAACATTTTGTTTGATTGTTTGCCCATAAATGTTATTGAAATATTAAAGTTTTAGTGTTTATGATGGTGGATCTTTAAACTATATGAAGCTGTCGTGCCAAAGTAATTAGACAGTGAGAGGAATAGGCTTCCTCGACAATAACATCATGAAGCATAGAAACATCTCTAGATGAGATCATGACACACTGATATGTTTCCTCTTAACATAATTACATATGAGCATGCATGTCTTTGTCGGAGATCCTATGCTATGACCAAAGTGCATCAGTATTTAATGATTCTGCTCATTGACATACTGTCTGGCGCGTGTTTACATGTTGAGGAGCTATTAGTCTGAATTTTCATATAGCAAATAGCAATTTTCTTCTTGTTCTTGATCATGCCCACTTTGCTTGTTTTTGTATTTAATTCTTAGTAATTGAGGAGCCATGGATTTGAACTCAAAGTCAATGTATACTACCTACATTCAGTTTAAATTGGTGCAACTTACAAACTGTTGAACAAAAATTTTACATATGCAGGTTAACTTTCTGAGCCAAATGCGTCTAACTCATAAAGGAGATGGACCAAAGGTGGCAAAACGTTTAATCGATGTTTATTTTTCACTTTTCAAGGTAATGATGAACTACATTATCTTTTGAATGTTTATCATCTATAACACTTATGATTTCTGTCCCCCTAATCCACATTCTCTACATCCCTGCATCATGATGTTTTTGTTGGAGTACACAAGGCCTAAATTATGGAAATAGAAAATGAACAGTCACAAAGTAAAATTTCAGGTACTTATTAATGAGGCTGCTGCTGGTGAAAAGATGGATAAAAAAGGGAAAGCATGGTCTAAAAAGCCACTCAGTTCTAATGAGGATAAGAGTTCATCGGATTCTCATGTTGAATTGGATTCACGCCTTCTGTCAGCTCTACTGGTGGTTAGTACAAATACTTGTTGGGTCTACAGTATATATAGGAACATCTTGGTGTGTTTACAAGCTTTTAGTTACTCATAGAGAAAAAGAATACAAAAAAGAGAGCAAAAGGCTAGGCATAAATTTAGGCTTAGAAAAACATTTTCCAAGGAACTTACTGACTACTTCTGCGTCTCTTTAACAGGGAGTCAATAGAGCATTTCCCTTTGTCTCTAGCAATGAGGCTGATGACATTGTTGAGGTCCAAACTCCAATGCTTTTCCAGCTGGTAAGCTCAAAGCTTTGCTAGTGATTACTTGGAAGATTAGCTATATCTTTGATTCTGTGCATGGAAATTAATCTGGACACTTGTGCAGGTTCATTCTAAGAATTTTAATGTAGGAGTTCAAGCATTGATGCTTCTCGATAAGATCTCGTCTAAGAATCAAATCGTCAGTGATAGGTTTTACAGGGCCTTGTACTCAAAACTACTACTTCCAGCTGCCATGAATACTTCTAAGGTAAGTGGAGCTGGATTTGTTTACGCTTTTTTTAGTACTTTCGCTTACGCTCTTTCTTAAGACTCATCTCTCGCACTTTCTTATAGTCTTTGAAAAGCTTCTTTTTAGATCAATAAATTTCACTTTACCATTAGCCTCAGCAGGAGCTGGGTAGCATGCAACAAATTTGACTCCTTTCATTCAATTATATATCTTACCGTCTTTATATGACTTTCTTTTTAGGCAGAAATGTTTATCGGACTTATTCTGAGGGCAATGAAAAATGATCTGAACTTGAAGCGTGCAGCTGCTTTCGCAAAGCGTGTATTGCAGGTATGTACTTAGTTATGGTCTTATGAGTTTGCCACACGTACCACAGTTCCTCCTAGCCAGCTCTACATGTATTTCATTTCTGTTAATTACCTTATTAATAAAACCCACAAAGTGGAATTTGCATCTGTTGTGTTACCATGATTGGAGATTTTTGGAGTTTCGGATCTTAGTGTAAGCTTCTTTGAGGAAACCATGCATTGTGAAATAGAGGTCGATGATTGTTATGCTGCACTTATGTGGATGATGTAATTTGAACAGGTTGCGCTTCAGCAGCCACCTCAATATGCATGTGGATGCCTCTTCCTCCTTTCAGAAGTTCTCAAGGCAAGACCCCCATTATGGTAAGCTAGTGCTATTTCGGAGATCTGTACCTTAGATTTTACTCAACATGTCAATTAAACATGTTTCTAATTCGCCATCCCCACGCAGGAACATGGTGCTCCAGAATGAGTCAGTTGATGATGAACTTGAGCATTTTAAAGATGTTCGAGAAGAAACTGATGATAACCCCACCCCTGTCCCAGAGAAACAGGAACTCGATGTTGAGCTTGCACACAGCAATGATGCTGCCAATTCTGACCATGATTCTTCAGAAGATGATAACGAATCCACCGCCTCTTATTCTGAAGGTGAAGGTTCTGATGAAGCAGAGGAGTTTTTTGTGACAAAAGATCGAAATGATTCCAAACCAACCCCTGCTAGTAATGTGCAACCACCACAAGCATCATCCGAGAAGCCTCGCTTGCCTGGAGGCTATGATCCACGACACAGAGAACCCTCTTATTGGTTAGTTGTCTTTAACAGGCTAGCATCCATATTCGTGTGGCAGAATATTGAATAAGTGCAACATATAATACTTTGTTAGTAAAAAAAGAATGAAGAGAGAAAAAGCAAAGGTCAAACCAAATTTCTTATACAACAACCCACTGCAGGATTTCTAATGCTTTGCACCCTTTATTTTTGTTTATATTTTCTGTTAACTTCAGAATTCCCATTTCTATATGAGCAAACAGTAATGCGGATCGTGTGAGCTGGTGGGAGCTGACAGTACTTGCTTCACATGTGCACCCTTCGGTTTCAACCATGGCAAAGACCCTACTCTCTGGGGCAAACATTGTCTACAATGGAAACCCGCTGAATGACCTATCACTTACTGCTTTTCTGGACAAGTTTATGGAGAAGAAACCAAAGCAAAGCGCATGGCATGGTGGTTCACAAATTGAACCTGCGAAAAAGGTCTGCTTGTTTCCTGAACTTGTAGAATTGCCCCTTAAATGATTTGAATGATTTGAGTACCATAGTTATGGTCAGTGCCGAAACACAGGCCCCTTAAATCTGCAATGCTGACTGATTTTTCTCGTTCCAGCTTGACATGACCAACCAATTAATCGGATCAGAGATTCTCTCATTGGGTGAGAAGATGTAGCCCCAGAAGATCTTGTCTTCCACAAGTTCTATACGAACAAGATGAATTCTTCAAAGAAACCAAAGAAGAAAAAGAAGAAGGCAACAGAAGATGAAGGCGCTGCAGATTTGTTCGACGTGGATGGTGGTGGCGGTGATGACAGCGATAACGAAGAGATTGACAATATGCTGGATTCCGCTGGTGTTTCTATTGAAGCAGATGGTGACTATGATTACGATGATCTGGACCAAATTGCCAATGAAGATGATGAAGACTTGGTTGCTAATGTCAGTGATACTGAGCTGGACCTGGCCTCAGACAGTGGGGAGGGAGAAGACTTTGATGCCATTGCGGACGATGGCCAGAGTGACGACGACGACATCGATATAGGAGATGCAGACGACGACGACATTGACTTAGGAGATGCAGACGACAACGACATTGACATAGGTGATGCAGACGACGACGACATTGACATAGGTGATGCAGATGACGGCATCGACGAGGATGAGGGGAAGAATGTTATAAGCAAAAGTAAACGGAAGCGAGGGAAGTCTGGAGCATCCCCGTTTGCTAGTCTTGAAGAATATGAGCATCTGTTGAACGTCGATGTTCCTGCTGATAAGGAAACTAGAAAAAAGAAGCCGAAATCACGAAAGAGGAGAAAGTCGTCCGACTGAAACCTCCCTCTCTTCGTCGGACTCCTCCAAAAAACCATCAGGAAATTTTGTTTCGAACTCATATCCGATTGTGCCCATAGAATTTTTTGCCGTTGGCTTTTACTTTCTATGAAAAATTAGAATTCAAGATTACAATAGAGACAGAGATGTAGGTCCGGACAAATTGTTGCCCTTCCACTCAAGTTCGAATTCCATTGCCTTAACACATAAACCCTGAACCCTGGAACTAGAAGCCTAAATGTACACAAAGCACATGAATCCAGCTGCCTTTCACCTGCTTCAAGAGATGGAGACTTCCAACTGTTTTGGGCTTGGGAGGCGGAGGAAGCTTCTCGACAACCAGAGTCAGAACCCCGTACTCGCATTTAGCGGTAATTGCTGCTACATTGGCATTTCCGGGCAACCTGAACTTCCTCAGCAGCTTCTGGACCGCTTTCCTCTCCAGCCTTATATACTTGCACCCTTCCTCCTCCCTGTCGTCGCGCTTTCTCTTCCCCTTGCTTCGGATCACCAGCGTGTTGTCATCTTCAACCGTCACCTGAATCGCGAAATCAAATTTGTTCACTCAGGTATTGTTTGGTATGCAGATGGGACGGAACGGACGGGACAGAATGGAGCGGGAGCAAAGATGCCCTCGGATGGAAATGAGGAGGAAGAAGAAGGAGACGGAGAGAATATAATTTTGTATTCCACGGATGTGGAACGAGTCGTTCCAAGAGGGTGAGCGGAACAAAAATTCATCCAAAACTCGTCCTGTGGAACAGCTCGTGCCATCCGTTTTGGGCGCATTAAACGTGGGATGGAACGTCTTATCCACTCTGTTTCATCCCATTCTACGTACCAAACGATACCTCACAGATGCATCAGCACAAACGATAAAACAAGTGCACGACATTCCTTATTTACCAAAACATCCGATTAAGCGTGCACATTTGGATTTAATTAATCCACCTGAATGTCAGATTGGAGATGCCAGGCACGTCCAAGAAAAAAATGTACTCCCTGGGAGCGTCCAAATGTCAACCGGAATGCTGGATACACCTTTGTTCTCGTTACCGGTCTCGTGAGCTCGAGGAAACATGAACTTCTCAATGGCCTCTGGGAAATTCAGCAGGTGGTTCACCGCCGCTTCGAACGCACTCGAATCCGCATCTCGGATCATTTTTCACCAACGATTCAGAATCCGCAGAGTACAATCTGTGAAATATTCAAGAGAAAGTTTACTTTAGCAACCCATTAGCAATGAAGCGATCAAAAGTAGAGATTTGATGGAGAAATACGGGTGAAGTTGAAAGATTTGGTGACCCATTGGAGATACAAGCTTGTATGCTTGAATTTTTTAGCATTACGGGCATTTGAGCTATTTGTTTCTTGGGAAAATTACAGAGAAAGCAAAGGGCGAAAATGGGAGCAGAAATTAACAGAACCAAGTGAAGAAAAATGAAGTTTAGTTTTCGAAGAGGGACATGGAAAAGATTCTTACATGAAGAGAGTTGTTTGATTCGCGCGGGAAAGCGTTTGATAGAACGAGAGATTGCAGCGACTGATTCTGATTGTTTGGTTGGCGAGAAATTGTGGGATATAAACAACCAGAGAGTGGAAAGTTCGAGAGAAATGGAGCGAAGAGCAACGAACCGTCTTGAACAATCGCGGGGTTTTCAGCATATAGACCGCGGGAATTGGAGGATCGTGACCTTACACGTGTTTCTTTAACTCACAGAAATACCACAATTTTGTCGTCATAAACTCATCAAGAATACAGGAGGGGTCTGTAGTTGGGCACTGGATCCCCTCGGACCTGAGGGTTGCAACACTATTTTCCCTTCAATCCGGGGCATAAGGCCAGGAATTCACCTTCAGCTGGCTCTTGTTCTATATCTAGGTCATCTAATGTTAGGCTTCGCTACCCGACTTATTAGTCAGCAAGTAAACAACCCTCAACACCAAATCAACACCCCCCCCCGCGCCCAAAAAAACACAAAACCACGGGCGGGTAGTAAGGAGTAGCTGATCAAGAGAGATGAAATCACACACCCCCCCCCCCTCCTCTTAAAAAAACCGCGGGCGGGTAGTAAGGAGTAACTGATCAAGAGAGATGCGAGAAGCAGGTTGTACGGTATGATTATGCAAGGGTTTAGTGATCGAATCTTCTAGCAATTGTTTTCGGCAACAAGAGTTGGTTATGGTGGATGGCTTTCTCGTTCTTGATGAGTTGATCCATCGGATTGAAACCCTCATTAGATTTGGCAACTAAGGATGAGATTACCATAGGCTTTTTTTCTCATTCTGCTCCTATGGTGTGGACAATTCCACCGAGCACTAGTGATTTCATATCCGGTCAAAAGTTTGGTTAATTGATCAATTAGCCAAATTTTGAAATAGAAACAGAGTAACTCGAACTCCGAGAGACAAACGGTTCCCCATATCATTTGAGATTCTCTCCTCGCCCTTAGCCCTTCTCGGCTAATAGAATGTGAATTATCTAGTTTTTAGGTAAGGAAGCATAGCTAGCGCCTAGAACCATGTCCATTAAAAGGTGCGGACCAATAGGATCGTTTATCCGCAAACAGAGAGTAAATTGCTTATTAGGTAGCAAACAGGAAAAGCAGACAAAAGGGGTCGCCAATACAATTCACTTGCAAGTTGTAGAATTACTGTAAAACACATCCCTAGGAAAATTATGCACAACCTTATTAGTGATCTTGCAATTGTCGGCAAATAAGCATTATTAAATATGAATCACCACCAATAAACGTCAATCAATATTGGAGATCTTTTCATATGTTTCTTCTCCGTTGCTTCATAGGATTTACTACTATTTTTCAATGGATTCAGTAGTTGTATGTGCTTAACCTAAATGAAAATCAAGATGTTTACAACTACTTAAGTTGTGTACTACCACTTATCAAGATGCTAATTTGTAAATTTTACCAAAAAAAAAAAGATGCTAATTTGTAAAGATAATATTCGTCGGACCCTGTTTATGAAAGATTCTATATGATGACCCAAAATGAAGAGAAAGTCTTAGGTTCGATATCCGGACCATCTCATTCGTTTGGCCTAGACTCAAAAAATCTCTCATGGGCCCTCTGCTCTCTAACTTGAGGCCCACCATTACCTCACATTTAGATTCCATCCCCTCTCCCACCACCTCATTCCATACGCTACACTCAAGACCCTCTTCCAAATGAAACCACAGAAATAGAAATAGAAATATTTTTTTGCATATCTATTAATATGGTTGAGTTTTCTGTATAAAGGGTTTAGTTTTCTCACTTCGTAAGAAAACCTATTGAGTCATATAGTGTTTTATTAGGGTAATGTCAGTGAAAATATCTAATTTGAACTATTTCTCTAAGCCATCTGATGTGGTAACTGACATATACATACCATGTCACTTAATTAATTAACTTTTCATTTTTTCAATCAAAATCGATTATTTCAAAACAAAAAACAAAAAAAAATATTTTAACCTTTTCAAATTCCTCATCTCTATCCTCTGAAAGAGGGACGGAGAATAGAGATCTGAAAAATCTAGAAGTTATTTTCCATTCTAGAATCATCAATTTTGATTAAAAATTTGCAAAGTTATTAATGAAGTGACGTGACATGTATATGTCGGCTGCCACATCAGATAGTTTAGATTGAGGCTTCAAATTAGATTGTCTTCCAAACATTACCTTTATATTTAGTGATAGTACCATACATATATGAGTAATGTTACACTTATTATATGTTTCATATCACATTTGTACCACTTCTCTAATAAAGGTAGGGTTCACCAAATCACGTGGTTCTCATCTCTATTAAAGAGATGGTGCAAATATAGTATAAAAATGTGATAAGAGTAGTATTTTTGTACGTATATAAACTGAAGATGGTTGTAAACAATCGTCTCTTCATAAAATGTTTTTTTCTTTTTGTTTTGGCCAAACTGCCCCATTTCCTGCGGAATATGTGCTTATAAAGTGTTCAAATTGAATGTGATTACATGACTGAAGATTTTTATATTACAAGACACTTTATTTTTTATGTCTCTCTCTAAACATTAGAGATTTGAACATCAGATTTTGGCTTTTCATCATCCTCATCCCAATTAGTGGTCTTGTAGTAGGTTGCATACAAGATGAGCTGTACCTCGCCGGAAAGCGATCCCAAAGCTTTTGGAAACTACCAAATTATTCAGAAAAAAAAAAGGTTAATTAATCACAAGAAATCAAAATAAAAAGTATTTTCCAGTTCTTTGAAGATAAATTGAAAACTTCTTGTTTACAGTTTTAATTAATTACCAGAATATATGGATCCAGTACTTTAAGGAATGCTGCATAGATGGACCAGACAATTCCATTGCAGAAGTTGGCGAACGAAAGCGAAAACGGCATGTACTTGACGCTCTTTGTCTTGATCACCATTTTCTGCCAACCAAATAATTAAAGTAATGAAATCTTTTTCATCATCCAAACATTGTCTAAACACTCAAAACGTGGAATAATTTATGAAAATTGGTGATTCGTACGTACCATGACTGTCAAGGATGAGGCATAGATAATGATGTTCAAGACAATACATAAGATCCCAATTATCATAGAGCGGATTTGAAGGAGCTTAAAGAAAGTGTAGAGTAACGAAAACCACAATGGCAAATAAGGCAGCTTCAGCTAGAAGAGCAATGATAATGTTTCGCTGAAAGAAAATAAGACAAATAAATTAATAAGATGTGGACATTAAGTAAATTAATTTATAAATCAAATTTGACGACTCTGACATTATTATTTATGGTGTTACTTACCCCTTTTTTTCCTAGGAGAGTATGCTAAGAAGATAGCAATATCGATTAATTCGATGACCAAACCAGTGCCATTGATTGTGAGGACCAGAAGGCTGTCTGGATGGACGTTTGGGCAGCCGAAGGACCACAAAGCACAATTAAGCAAAGTTGCTATACAAGGATCCGGCCTGAATTCACCAACTGATTTTTGCTTGATGATTTTCGCAAATGTTGGGCTGCAATATTTCCATTCATCATTTAGGGTAAAGAAACGAATTCATCATTTAACACAACTATATTTATAATTAAGTACGTGGACATGAGAGAGAGAGAGAGAGAGAGAGAGAGAGAGAGATTTACACTGGGGAGATAAATAATCCAAAAGAGATGATATTTCCTGTGCAGGAAGGAACAAGAGAAAATGTAGGTTAGCTAGATGTATA